TACAGGTGATTACCCTCACTGACACCCACCTCCTACTCCAAAAAGATATAGCTACACAGTAGGTCCTGTGTCATACCTGCTGGACCCATCTGACCTCTCAAATGGTACCAGATGCCTAAGGAATAGAAAAATTAATACAGACCTAGGTGTCTACGTTTAATCAGATGAACCCCATTCACATGGTCTGTCTGAACAACCATGGTTTTAGCCACAAATTTCAAATTCACGTGGCAAAGACTCGGTTTATGGAGCACTTTCTAGGTCTGTGATTTATGCATAAAATGTAATTGCTAAAGAACTGAAGAAAGTTTTCTTCAATAGAAAGAGAGTGCGAGATCCGTTTCCCTGCCTTGGCAGAAAGGAGGATAATGAGGAAGTATAAACGCTCCTTTACTCCTTTCCACCACTATCTGCCCTTATTCAGGGGGCTCCTCAACATTATGGGTTGGTGACTTCATGGTGCAAGCACACTTGGAGCAGGATCCACATCAGCACATTCTCTAAGAAGGGCTGCAGAAACACCAAAGTTGGTTTGTACAAGTCCCTCATAATTGTAATGTGTGAGCATCTCAGAACATTTAATGGGTTTATCTTTACAACATTTCCATAAAATAGGAAACTATGGGTGAGATAACTCCATGTTTTCTTGTCTCTCTCATTACAGTCATCTATTGCTGTAAAATTGTCAGAGATATCATCACAAGCCCTGAAAACAGGAACACTCCAAGTGTTCAAGAAACTGCCTGAACACTTCAACTGTTCAAGAGAGGACATCAGTGCAGACTGATGCTTTAGAGAAAAATAAGCAAAAACCAAACCAAACCAAACCACTAAATTACATCATACTCCATGTTATGGAATACTTCATGCTACATTTAAAAAAAATATCTTTGAACTTTGCATTCATTTTAACACTTTTAATTTTAAAATTTGGAAAAATACTTCTTTGTTTAGAACTCAACATGAACAGCTAGAAAGATTCATAATCAAACAAGGTTTAAAAAGTATATATTAGGTTAAGTAACTATTTTTTGGACTGATGGATTTATAAATTACAACAGAAGAGGGATCAATCTACATTTGTAATCTTTCTCAATTTTAGCAAGCATTAAAATTAAAACTGAGATCATATTGACTATAACAGCACAGTTAAAATTATTCAGAGTCAATTTCAGAATGATAATTGTGACTAATGCTAAATAAATATTATATTAATCTAAACATAGATCCTGAGTAACTAGAAGATACTCACAAACTAGCCACTAAAAGTGAGGGAGCAATTCTCCTGTTATTTCTGTTTGTACACTGATTTGCCAGCCTCTGTCACTCACTACAGATGGATAGATAACTTCCTCATCAGGGAGCTGGTAGGTGCAGTCCATTTTTACAAGGGTTTTTTGGCCGAATTTGGAAGCAGCACCAAACACAGGCTACAAAGAGCCTTAAATATATGCACAATTTTACTTCATATCTGAGAAGTGTAAAATCTGCGATGACACAGGAATGTCATACACTGGCAGAGCAATAAGGACTCATCTTTACTGTTGCTTGTAGGAATTTACTGAGGTAAATTAGCTACTGAAAGGCTAATTTGGTTTTTCCCTGAGTGGATAAAAACTTGCCGAACAGAACAAAGAAATAACCACAAATTACTAGAACTCAAATTTACTAGTTAAGAAAAAAAGAAATATTTCCACTAATTTACTGTAGTAGTCATGAGTACAAGATTTCCTGTAATAATAATCAACCACTAGTCAGCATTTAATAACATAAAAAACACTACTAAAAATTATCAGTAAAATATTAGTGAGATTTGACATTGTCAGATAGGGAAAAGATATTTTAGTTTGGCTACCTATTAAAAAACAGTCACAAGATCAGACATAAAAGGGATCTAGATAAAAACAGCACAATTTAATTAAGCTCCTCTTTTTTTTCTCTTCTCAAATTCAGATGCCTCGCTATTTGAGACTACAGAAAGGAGATTTATATATTTCTTGCATTCTTTACAAAATCATTCTTTTTATGTATCATTATGTTCTTCAGCTAGATGTAGAAGCCTGTTATTATCTTGCAAAAGAGACAAAGCTTTTTGGAAAAGTAAACAGTATTTGAAAGAGATAAAATAGAACTTCAGAATTAATAGACATGTCACTATACACATATTAATACACATCTGTCTATAGGCAGTATGATTTTGAACACTTATTAACAAAATCAAATGACTTTAAAAGTTTTCCTTATCACATACAGTAATTTTTTAGTTTTGTGACTAAAGATTTTTAACATTTTAGCCAAGTATTAAACAGAATATAATTTCAGCTCCAACCTACAATGTTTATTTATTGTCCTAGCTACTTGTATGCAGCACTTGCATGTCAAATTCAGAGTATAACAGGGTGATGTAATGCAAATATTTCTGCCCTAAAAGCCAAACAGCACAATTCAGTGACACAGAAAGGTAAATGAGAGTGGCAGAGGAGTCTTTCTGGGTCTCAGGTTACATGACTTATAAAAGCAGGCAGTCATATCATAAACTGATCATGATCCACTTAAAATTTTGCTACGGCTTTTGGTTTTAGAATTTTTGCATTTGCCACTCCTACTGGTAGGTTGTTCCAGAAATTTACCATTTTGGTAGTCTATCTTCCCACCTCTAGCATCAATGTATTCATTGCCAAATTACACTGCCCTGTGCTCTCTTTTCTCCTATAACCCAACTGAACCAATGAGATTAGTCAAATAAATAAAGTAAATTAGAAGTTTTTTAAAGAACTTGTTTTTAAATCCCATGGCTACATATTTAAATATTTCCCAGGCACTATTCAAATTATTTTTGACAGACTGTTGGTGATTGGACTTGTGCCAAAACACAAGAATAAAGACCCAATATTTGATGTTGTAAGGGTAATAACTTTGTAAATACAATCTCACAAAAATGAAAAGAAAAAGAAGTCAAGTTTTTATCAATTTAATTCCAACATAACTATGCCTGTTCACAAAAGATAATCACAGCAAGTGTTTTGAAACAAATTTCTTATTACCACATAAGATGTGCTTTACAGAATTATGGCTGGAAGGGGCCATTAAATCATTACCATAACACTATGCAGACAAACCTCCTGGCATATCCAAGATCATAAATTCACCTAATTACTGCTGCATTAAGCCTCAGCAATTGTATATTGCTAACACACATTTCCAAGGGTGAAACCCAACCTTGTTCAGAAATGTCCAGAAATAGGGAATACAGCACTGGTCTTACATGTTTGCTCCGGGAGTTAAACTAAAAAAGTACCTTAATTTTATTTTGAAGGGTCTCACCTCAAATCATTGCTTAAAAATTGAAAGGACACTACTTCCATAGTTCAACTTCTATTTCAAGGTGGTTCTCTGGTTTGAATCCTCTTGCAGTAAAATATCTGACTATAGAACATTTTTTGCTTGTGTATTTCAACTTCACAAACTCACTACTCCACTGTTTACATATCTAATGTCACTTATACACTTTTCACCACAGGTTTGCACTGGACAGTCATGTAAAAAAAGCCTTTTAATGTAGTGCAAAGTGAAGTTTCGCTCTCAAGTCACTGGTAACCATTTAAGATCTTTATGTTCTGACATGTATTAATTCTTCCAGGATTTGGTTGCACTAAAATGAATTTTGTTTGAACCAATTCAGCTAACAGATCACTGTATTAGATAGTTTGACGTATCCATTACCTATCATTTCACCAGTCATTATTCCATCTGCTCCCCAAAACTGATTAATCATTTGCAAAAAGTGTAATCATCATCTCCTTTTTTGGGACCAGATTCTACTGCCGGATTCTTATTCAGGCTGAGTTAGACTGTCTTTAAGAATATATGTTGCTTTGTACAGTAACATGTTATATTGTGCAAATAAGTCTGGCAGAGTCTGGACCTCAATATGGACAAAATGACTTGCTTTTACATTTTCTGAGTTGTTCCATTTCCAGCAAACTCACTTGTCAACAGAGACCAACAGAGTTCAGGAAAAAAATTACGTCTCAGTGTTCACTCTGATTCACTGAAGCCCAGTATAATAAGCTGATGCAAAACTATTCTATAAACACTGCACAAAACATTAATAGCGTGGGTATTGGTGTGTATGACTTTTGTAGGTTTTTTTGAAGCTATAGTTCTATGAGTTTCTACCACTTACTTCAAAATAGATGTAATTGTTTTCACCAGAGACAATAAATATTTAAACCAAGTAAATTTATTTCCACTCTCCTTCAAAGATACTTCTATCTTTTGATTCCAGACAAAAGACAACACACAAAAAAAAAAAAAAAATTAAACAAAAAAACCCACCTGCTATTGAGGGACAAAAATCCTTTGAAAAGCAGCATGCCAGATTTGCAGCTAAAATATATCACCCTCCAATGAAAAATGCATGTTAATATGTACACAGGTCTTTGGATAGCTCAGGAAGGTGGCTACTGATTGGAATACTGTCACTGAGTTAACTCTAACAGTTTGATTATGAAGGATGCCATGCTTCTGAACGACTTCCTATATAAGCCACTTCTCACACCTTAAAGGAAGCCAGAGGAGAAAAATACTCTTACTACCAGTTAAGAGCTGAACAAACAACCACTCACATCCAGAAATGTGTGATGGTGGAAGTCTTTTTAGTATATTTCAGGCAATATTCTAATATATTACAACAGTGAGATTGTTTGCAGTTCTTTAATCAATTATGATTGCATGTTTTCCCAGGCAACATTTATACTCATTATCTGATTTGTTACTCATTTAGGTTACAGCTTTCAAAATTTACAGCTTACAGTCGCAGTGTGCTTTGAATGACAGTTTTGTTTTATCCTATGCTATTTCCTATGGTCTAGATATCATTGATGATTCAATTAAATCACATGGTCCTTTACACAAAAAAGAGCATAACAGATTTCCAGATTCTAATTTTCCTAGTTCATCTGCTTAAATAAGAAAGACAAATTATCCATAGCATTTACCTGTAGAAGGCTGGAGGAGCAGCTTCCCTCATTCCAAAGCTGCCCTGATCGTTTTCAAGGTAATAGGGTACCTGTTGGCTGTGATGATGGATGAAGGGTGAGAGCTGGGGTGCCGTTTGCAAGAACACCACCGGGCTTGGTGGGACACTGTTCAGTGAGTGAAATCCTGCCAAACTGCTGGACCCAAAAGATTCAGAAGTAGGGGCGTAACTGAGCGTAGTAGAGCTGTACACTGGAGCTGTAGTACCGAAATCATAGGTAGCTCCTTCTGGGTAGTTAAAAACTCCTGTCTTGTTGGTCTCCACGTACATGTCGCTGAGCGATCTTTCCAGGGGAATCTTCAGCTGAGGTCTGCTCAGTGTCTCCAGTTCAGTTCCTTGAATCTGGTGCAGCAGGGTAACTCCAGAGGTTTTGGTGTGAAGGGTCATGGTCAGTGCTAATGGCAGTGAGCAAGGAACATATCTGCTTTTACTGTCAACAGTGAGATCGGCAGCTGGCAGTCCACCTAAAAAAAATACCAGAACCTATTCTGAGGCTCAGCAGAAATCATAATAAAGCAGCACTACACAGGTATTCCTCTAATCTCAGCAAGGAGGAGGATACAAACAGAGAGCGAGCACTGAAAATGCACATTCTCTCTCTCTTCCTCCCTCCCTCTCCCTCTCTCTAACTTTTAGGAACTCCTCATCTGCACTAATATGCATTACAAGGTATTGGCTGCAAGCCAGGAACTCTTGCCTTGTGCCGACATTGGTTTAAACATCACTTCAGAAACAATTAGTTTTGGAGTTATACCAAATAATTGTCCCTCTAAATGTTACTTAATTCTTACTAATCGTTTAATTTTTCACTTCAGGGTACAGCGCTTTGCAGCAGCTATCGGTAAAGAACACTTCAACCAGGAAGAATAGTCCAGTGTCAGGCAGATTACTGCCTTTTTTCCTTAGCAGGCTCCAATCTATCTGTGCTTATCTCTCCTCCTGTTTGATTCATTTTCATGTTTGTTAGAAATATGTAATGTGTACATTGCCACGACCCTGGGTAGGACTATGCTGTAACCGAGATAGGGCAAAGCAGAATGTGTGTGTGCAAGTGCGCGCGTCTGTGTGTCTGTGTGTGTGTGCGTAACAAGCCTCAGTCAATAAAGTTAGCTAACAAAATTGAAGGGTGTATGATATTTATGCACAAGAAAAGATTCATAATGTAATTTCATCAGCAATAGCAACTCGCAGTTACTAGAGTATAACAGTAACATTAAAAAGAGAAAAAAAGCTTTAGACTAGCCTAGAAAACTATGTCTGCTTCTTTTTAGGCTGTAAAATGATGAAATAAACATCACTCAGATTTTGCCACAGTTAGGAAATAATTATTTGATTTCATGACACATGAATTGAATACAGGAAATTCTTTTTCCTAGTCCTGTGAACAAAACATCAGCAAACTTGAATTTTGAAATCAGACTAGACAATCAAGTAACCTAAAATAATCAAAATAACCAGCTTTAAAATAAACTGAACTGCTTCTCAAAGTTATATTTAGAAAGAAAAAAAAAGGAAGAGCAAGAACATAATGAAAAGGTGTGGCATGCATGCTTCATCTTGCAATCTCATTCCATACAATTTTAGCTTCGCACAAACCAGTTCTCCTGAACGAGCTAAATGAAAACCTCCAGAAACTGTTTCAAGCTCTCTAGCTTTATTGCTGTGGTCTGTGGTTCAGTCAATTAAACAGGTTAATGCCAACCCTAAATGCATTAATATATGGCCTCCAGTTAGTATGCTTTGAATACCAGCAAAGTCCATGCTATACTTAAACAACTCCACAGTTATTTGGCTCAACCTTCAAAAAAACCAAAAAACTGAAAAAATGAATATGCAGCTCGCTAAAAGCTTAAAGAAAAGTTTACTAAAACTGGTTTTATTTTGGTAATAATACTATGTTTTCAGAACTTCTACTAAAATAGCCAAAGTTATTTATATTTGCAAGATTATTCTGAAGCAATATACATTTTTACCTTTGCAGGCACACAGCTAAGACAGCAGCACACACATAACTATGTACTTGATCTGTTTCCTCATCCCACCAGCCACCCTCCCTACCCTGTTCAAATTTCAGATCGTAGACTTTGATCAAAGAGATAAGCTTGTTTAAATAACACTGGACTAAACATGTTCCCAGTTAAAAAAATAATAATCAGACAATCATACCCAGCAGTTCAGAAAGTCTTCGAAGGGTTATTCTGAAAGTATGCCAGACGGTGTGAGAGAAAAAAAAAGAGAATGTGTGCATGTTCTCTTAGAGTGGGCGACCGTGCATCTGCAGAGACTCACAAAGCAGCAAGTAAGCAAAGCTCTCAGCCACCAGGCTGCAGGGCTACACAGGCTGAAATGAATGGCAGTTACAAGTTTAAGTCAGCCACTCTTACACATTTCATTTCATGCTTCGTAATACATAGAAGAAACATTTTCTCTTATTAAGCTGCATAAGCTGAGAATTAATGGGACTCTGCCTGCCGTAAGAAGCATACATTTCTATAGTGTGCTACAAAATAGACTTTAAATTTTTATCTAGCATTATCTAACATGCATGATATGTTAGAATTACTACACTGACATGCAATAAAATGCTCCAGCATAACAGCAATGCAGAAGACGGAAGATAGAAGTGTGCAAACAGAGAGCTGATTTCTGAGTGTGTCCTGTGCAACCTTAGTGCTCCTTGCATGCAATTTTTAAAAACCTCATTACTTATTTTTGGGGCATGGTATGTTTTCAGGGAAACAAATATTTAAAGTTTCCATCACATGCAAACAGCATTAAACGCACTATAGGGTTAACTTGAACCACCATCACTTCTGCTCCCTACCATTTAAACTAGGGATCCTATGAGCAGCTTTTCACAAGCCACAGTCCTCTCACTAAAAGGGCTCATCAATAGATAGCTGCAGTACCTGTGCAGCACACAGCCTGGTACACATTTCAAAACAAAAAAATGTGAATACCACCAACAAGATCTTGGGGACTGGCTGAGAACCTCTGTGATACCATCCTGTAATGTCTGGCTTACTTTTCCTGTAGAAGAAAAATGAGAGAGCAAGAATGGGCAAGCTGAGGTTGGGGGTTAATCAAGCCAAATCCCATGAAGAAGTTGAATTTTTTTATTTTTGCATACTGAAAGATATACAGGTTTTTATTCTGCTTACTATATATGGGATTTTTAGATATAAAAAGCCCATGAAATGTAACAAATTATTAGAGGGGTTTTTTTCTTGTCGTATGTGATATAAACCATGCCGCTTGCTCCAAATTAACACGCCCTGCTACTTCACCCTGTTTCAGAGATGGCATTAGATGCATCTGTCTGTGGACTCACCCTCCAGAAAAATGAGATCTAGGTTTCTAAAACTTAGTATTAGTGCTTAAAGGTCAGGACTTACTTCACCATCCAATTTGATCACTCTGATCTATTGCATATCAGATTTTACATGTTCTAGAATATGACAATATTGCAATATGGAAATGAGTACAGCATATAGCAATAACAGTTGGTGCTTTTTAGCACAAAGTTTATGCAAAGATTTGGTTTTGCTAAATCCCACTTCATGTATGCCTTTAAAACTGTGCAGATCTCATACAGAAGGGCTTGCCTCATTCATTGTTTTGGTTTTTTTAAATCCCATGTAGTAACAAGAGAGAGTAAATAAAAACATGAATTGGCTGCAGCATCTTCATTTCTAGTCCTAGACAAATGTGTTCAAAAATACTTAGTCAATGGCAAATCTACCTTCTTGGATCTGGTAATTTCTCCACCAATGTGCACTCAGCTGCAGACAAGCTGCCCTATGTATTTCTCTTACCTTAATGAAGGTCTAATATTGTTTTGGAGTTACTGATCACATACTACGGGACAAAGTCGTCTATCATAGACACGTAAAAGTAGAGAGAGCACAACCGGTTCTAAAAATTCTGAAGATTTGCTAAATTTATATCAGGCATAGATTGGGGTGTTTACTATATTTCTGAAGTTTGAGAGTATGCAAATAAAATCTGACTTCGATCCATCCAAATTTATGCATACACAAGAAGGAAAGAGAACAGTATTTAAGGAAAACTGAAGAAATAGGAGGGAGCAGTCCACTGTGACTGAGGAGCACTGCAGACATGTTAGCAAGGAAGGTCAAAGCAGAAATTGCATCTTCATACACAGAGATTTTTACTGAGAATTAGTTGAGGTGAAAACAGTGAGGATTCAGACACTACTCTTCTCACGGAAATGAGAAATTTATAGATTAGATAAATGAAAGTGGCTGATTAAATCCTTTGTTCCCTTTTTTAAAATGGCAACCTTTCTGTTTTCCTTTTCTAGATAGGCCAGAGTTCCAGTGACCAACTCAGATTTTCCAGAGTATGGAATTTACTCTAAATTACACTGATAAAATGCCTAATGTAGTAACATTAAAACTAAATCACATTTCTACTGCTCTGTGGTTAAATTAGCATCATTTATAGCTGAAAAATATTTAGATAAGTTTCTAAAGGCAAATTTTGGTTATTATGATTCATTGATGAACAGTTTGCTTCTAATTTACTTTTTTTTTAATTTGTTGACAGACAACTAGAGTGATCAGATTAAGTGGGCAGACTTAATCTGCTAAACTGCACAGTGCATTGTGGCGCGACTGGACCATCAGTTCAACATTTCAAAACCAGAACATAATTTAAAAAAAAACAAAAGTAGCCTACTTCCACTGGCAGCAAATATTGTGGCATCAGCAAAGTGGTCTGGGAAACAGAAAAAAGGAAAGAATAGATAATAAAAAAATATCAAAAAGTATTACTTTAACTTATCTAAATAACTGGAAGGAAGATGGGGAATTTCCAGTGCCATGAGCATCAGAAATTTGCTATTGACTACAAGGCCTGAAAGCCAGTCAGGGCTGTAACAATAGGAATAGATATATTTAAAAAAATAAATAAAAAAAACCACACACACAGAGAAAGAAAGGGCCTGAACACATTTTGTGTTTTGGACAAGATAAAACAGCAGTTTGAGGGAAAAGAAGATTAAAACAAAAATACTATACAAAGACTATTAAAATTATAGGCAAATTAAAAGATAGCAAAACTCTATCCTGTAACAGGCATTTTTCAGCACTAGCTTTAGTAAGTATAGCAACAAAAAATGGCAAACTCAGAACTTAAAACACATACTATAAATTTTCCATAAACCTGCTGACAGTGAGAGACCATAAACTTCGTCACTTTGGTTCCACAGCTATAAAGATAGAAGCTTTTTTTAGCTGCTGCAATTAAGACTCTATTGCACATAGCAGGAGGAACATTATGTTTTTCCAAGATTCCACAGTAACATTACAGAGAAACTGTGTTGTCTTTACTCCAGTGAGGAAACTCCTCAAGATAGACAGCTGGAGAACAGCACCACCTACCCCACAGCTTTATAAATCTCTGAGGAAAAAAAAAAATTTAAAAAATTAAAGCCCTTGAT